TAATGCGGGGATTATACCCTCTTGAATAGTCCACTCTGGAAGGCTGTTTTGTCGCTCCGGCCCTGCTACTGCGACTTGCGACTAGCTTCCGCGCGCCGACTTCATACACACAAGCTTTCTGCAGGATTATGACGGCACATGCCTGGAAGCCAGACGCACCTACGTTTACGTTTTTGCCTCTGTGCACTTTCTCGTTTTTTTATTCAGGCTGCAGATGGTATGCGTTCAGCTCAAACTGCACTACCGAGCGTCTCTGATATATCAGATCCCGGTTCGTCGACGTTTTAGTTCCGAGTCTTGTTATATTGGTCCTGGGACGTACCACTGGTACTTTGGACCATCGTCTTGGTTTTTCGCCTCCCTCCAGACTGACCTGTCACGACATATTTCATCGAGCGTCCTGCAGCGTCGTCTGACAACTCTGGTCTGAACTTCTTTCTCTTTCAGCTCGTGGCTGTCGAGTGCGTGGCCAGCCGACGTACCACCGAGGTCATCGCAACATGTTCCATACCTTCCAGTCGTCCGTGGGTATGCGCTCGCCCGGGATAGACAGCGACAGCGCGGGAAAACCATCACGACCGCCTGGCTCACGACGGATTTCCACCAGCAACGCATGTGTCGAATGCAGGAGACGCAAGATTCGGTGTGACGGTTCACAACCTTGCGGACAATGCCAATGGTATCAGCACCCCGAGGCATGTGGCTATTCGAAGCCTGCACAGCGAGTTGTGCCTAGCAGAAAGTGAGCATTCTAGAACACGGCCAGGAAAAATTTGGCGCTAATCAGGTTGGTAGACTAGTCGACAAGCTTTCCAACAACATCGAACAGTACAAGACCATCTTGACAAAGTTGTATGGAGTCAAGAACCTGGAATCGCTTGCTAGTCTTCCGCGGGAAGAATTGCTAGAACTGGCTCTGTCATCCTCCGCGAACCACCCAACGACATCACCATCGGCGGCCGACTCGCAAGCCTTATCCGACGCCCAAGCTGGATCTGATGGAGCCGAGAGCTTGGAAGCGCTCGAGCAGGCGCCGCCTGAAGATCCTTACTGGGACGAGGCACGGAAGCACCAACTCCGTGTCCAAGGCATCTCCGACGATGTGAACGGGCTATCAATGTCGGTCGACCGCCTGTCTTCTTACGTTGGCATCTCGTCAATCACAGCCGCACTAAAGGTTATCGTGCGATGCGCGCCTCAGGCACGTTCACTAATCGCACACAACAGCCAGGAGACTGCGCTACCAAGCCGTGCAGGTTCACCGCCACCGGAGCTAGCAGATAACAGACCTGATGCTCTACCGCCTCCTCAGCATGGGCAAGAACTGCTCGAGAGCTACTTCGACCGCGTACATCCATTTTGTCCTATGATCGATGAGCGCAAGTTTTGGTCTACATTCTTGTACGGTAACCGCAAGGACTCAGCATGGCTTGCACTACTCAACATGGTCTTCGCGCTGGGGTCGCTTGCCTCCCTAGCTGCGGACAACGAAGCTCACTATGTCTACTTCAATCGGTCTCGGCGGCACCTGTCTCTCGAGTCGTTCGGAAGCGGCAATCTGGAAGTCCTCCAGGCTCTGGCTATCATGAGCGGATACTACATGCATTATCTCAACCGCCCGAATGAAGCGCATTCGTTGATGGGGGGTACGCTTCGTATGGCTACTGCGCTTGGTCTGCATCGTGAGTACTCAGAGCGGAGCGACGCGAGTAGACAGTTTATGGCGCCGGGTGAGGAAGACTCGATATCGCCTGAGATGCGCCGGCGTATCTGGTGGAGTCTGTTTTGCTTGGATTCGTGGGCTTCGACTACGACTGGACGGCCTTCGCTGGGAAGAATGGGGCCGTCAATTACTGTTCTGAGACCAGGCACGGCTGTGAACGCTGTAAGACTTACTGATGCATGTTTCAAAGCGCAATACTGACGTCACGATAGCCTCAGAGTATTCCACTACCCAATAGCCCTCAGTACATCGAGCAGCTCAAGATCCTTCCTCTAGTTCACGCCTCAGCATTCTGTCAGATCGCTACGAGGATACAGGACCGACTTGTCGAGTCGCCACTTCTTTCCTCTGCAGAGACAGCCAGCTACGACGCGCAGGTTGTAAAGTGGCACGAAGAGCTCCCATCAATCCTTTCCAACCCCGATGAGCCGTGTCCAGAGTTTCTCCGACGAACGCGCTTGGTCATGAAGTGGAGGTTTCAGAACATCCGCATCATTCTCCACCGCCCCATCTTGCTCACTGCCGCACTCCGACGCTCCCCATGGGTCGCCCTGAGTGCAGACGAAAAGGTCGCAGTAGGCAAATGCCGACTCATCGCCTCCAAGACCATCGAAGAAATCAGCCAGGAATGCATGCCTGATCTCATTTCAGGTTGGAACGCAGTTTGGTTCTGCTTCCAAGCGTGCATGGTCCCACTCGTCTCCCTCTTCAGCGACACCAGCATGCCAGAAGAAGTCGAGAAATGGAAGACCAGTATCGAAACAGCACTCACATTCTTCGAAACAGTCAAAGACTGGAGTATCGCAGCGAAAAGAAGTGGAGATGCAGTCACTCGCCTCTACGCAGCGTACAAAACGAACGTCTCTACACTATCACACCAAACCCAGCCAACCATGCCACACGTCCCGCACCCCCAGCAATACCACCCACAACATCCTCATCCCCACAGCCAGACACACACTCACTTCGCCATCCCCGGTACCTCGACCGCACCTCCCATGCTCAACACCCACGCCGCCGCCTACACACCTCAGCACCCATCGATGCCACAACCCCAACAGCAACACCCATCTTCCTTCGGCCACCACTACAACCCCGCAACACCTACCTGGGCCAGCGCCAGCAATGACCCAACTATTCTCAATAACTTTTGGGACGACATGATGTGGGACACAAACTTACCGGATATGCTCGAGACACCGTTTGGCCTAGGGAATGAATATGAGTTTGGTGGTGCGGCGCAGGATTCTGGGGCGCAGGGCGCGTGCTGGATGCATGGGAACTAATGGCAACGTTGGGGGGCGTTGACGTGACGCTCCTTTACCGCAAAAGACACAGTATGCACAGCATTGGGGGCTCGGCGCATCACTGGAACGCAGATCCGACATGCGCATGCCAAACACGACTCCATCCACCGACACCGGGCGAGAGCGGCCCAGTCGATCGCATACCCACCCTCCCATCTCCCCTCCATGCCCCTCGATTCCCGGCATACGGAGCCTGCACGTTGTCTACAACCGTAGCACAAGCTGCAGCAAGCAATATACAACAGCCGGCACCGGCACCCGTAGACGCGGAGTATACGCGACATGGATGCTGAGACACCCTTGTCCTTCGTCTCGTGTCTATTCACATGGTAAATTCGTGCTTCCGCGCGCGTCTCGGGAAAGCGGGAGAAAGGATGATTAACGCAGACAGCGGGTTGGAAAGAGATCGGCAGTGATAGGTGTGTGGAAAGGGCTTCTGGAATTGCGATGCCGAAGCCGCGGTGTTTGTGGCTGTTGATCTTGTTGATCTTTATATGACCGGGTTGGATGAGAGTGAGGCTGGCTGCCATCTTTGGGCTAGAGTGTTGAGGGCAGCGCTGCATGTGTCCATTTCCTCTCACATCTTCACGCATCAACATCTTTCTATCCTTTTTCCGCGTACGTCCCTCCTTCCCCTCACGTCTCTTACCCGTCTCTTTACCCCTTCGCCATTCCATCACCAAGTACCGCACACACGGTAAGACATCCTCCATCTTCCCGCAATACCTTTCACACTTTGTTATAGACCAGGGGGTGAGCATTATGATACCCCGGATTCTGGTGGTGGCTAAATAGCTAGTGGAGATGCGATGTTGATCGCATGCATGCATGCACGCACGTTGGATGTAGTTAGATATAGACTTGAACATGTATATCGCTGTTTGCCGAATGTAGAGAGGGAGTGCGTGAGACCGTTGTTGAGGTGACGTGTGATGGGCTTAAAAGAGGACATATAGGGGGCTGTTACGAGGTGAGGTGACTTACTCCACCTTTTTGGGGTGGGAGGGCGTGTTTAGGCTAAGAGGATGGGTGCGTGTGCGATGAGCGGAGTGAGGATGAGACGGGGAGGTTTCCAAGGTTTGCAGGCGCAGGACTACTTGTACGACAATGCTGTGGCTGGTCGATGGAGATTGTTGATATATCAGCACGTACGCCTCTTCCTCTCCATCACGCGATCCGCTGAATCCAGAACACTCCCAAACCTCACCACAAGCACAACACCAGCCAACCCTCCCCACCAAACCCTCAGTAAACACAAATCTCATCCATCTTGGCAGCTACACCAAATGCTTAACCGACCTGTATGCTCATCGGTGAGTATGCGCAAGTCGTGGTGATATCCTGTGTGGGCTGGTGAGGTATATGCAGGGTTCAAGATCCATCCGTAGATGTTGAGTGTGCAAGTGAGAAACGTGACGCACGTGGTTCTGTTCAACGTGGCAGGCCAGCCGAGGTGAGCGGGGCGCCGATGACGGAATGGGTGCGGGTCTTATCGATAAGACACCTTGAGATCTTGTCTTGGAATGCTGCTGCGCGTGCGGGCTGGGCGCGATAGACTCCGCGCGCTAGGTCATGGAGGCATGCTTGGTACGCGGTAGTACTTTGTACCGTGGTACGGGTGCATGGTGACAGATGATAGATGGCCCTTGGAAGTTGGGTTTGCAGAGACCTCGGGATGGTCTGTCAGGATACCGCAATGCTTTGGGAGGCAAGTCTGCAAACAAAGGAGTCGGAACGATTAAACAAAGTTCACCTATCATCACGCCGCACATCTCCCCCACGTGTACGCTGGAAGCTTGGCCACAAGCGGTCGATCGCGACTATGGCGCTTGGCTGGCTTGCTTCACCGGATCTATTTCACCGCCGCCATCATTGGCATCCGTGAAAGGAGCGCGCAATTGCTTCAGTATCCATCTGCATCCTTCCACCTCGGCCACTTCAGTGTGCGGAATCGATAAACCACAGCAACAATGTCCGAACCCGATCTGCACCGCGCCATATCCATGAAACCGCACCCGTTCCACACGCACCCGGATCGCATAGAACGCACATCAAGTCCCCACCACGCGCACCTCAGCGCCAGCAGCAGCAACAACAGCCCCAGCGCGCAACACGCCCACAGCCATGCCGACGCTTCCACTCCGCGCAAAAACGACGCCAGCAGCACCGCCATCGAAACCACCGCCCCAACACCCTCCCACGACCCCATAGCCCGCCACATCCGCCACCACCCCGACGTCTCAGACCTAGAATCGCAATCACCCCCCTCCTACACCCCCGACAATGACCCCTACTCCCTCTCCTCCGCCATAAAACCCGAATCCGAACTCGCCCTCATCCGCGCCAACACCTCGCGCAAACGCGATGGCTGCGGTCCCATCACCCTCAACATGGCCGCGACGTCAGCGAAGAGGCTAGAGGAGTTTTACTCGGCCCAAAATGAGAATATAGAGAGGTTGCTTAAGCCCGTGGCGGAGCATAGGGCGGCGGCCAAGGATGAGGATACGGCGAATCATCTCAAGTATAAGATTGCGGTTATTGGGAGTTTTGCGGCGAATATTATACTGGCTGTGTTGCAGCTTTATGCGGCGGTTAGTTCAAGGTCGTTGTCGCTGTTTACGACTATGGCGGATTCGCTGTTTGATCCGTTGAGTAATCTTACGCTGATTATGTGCAATCGCGCTGTTGCGAGGGTTGATGCGAGGAAGTTTCCCTCCGGGAAGGCGAGGATTGAAACAGCGGGAAACCTGTCGTTCTGCGCGCTTATGATTACCGTTTCGGTGGTCATTATCGTCGAGTCTATCCGCACAGTCGCCGAACACAACGGACCTGAGACGAACGACTTCTTCCTTCCGTCTGTCATCGCCGTCAGTATAGCATTCGCGACAAAGTTCTCGCTATTCCTGTACTGTTGGGCGTTGAGGAACAATTACAGCCAAGTCCGCATTCTGTGGGAGGATCACAGGAACGATCTCTTCATCAACGGATTCGGTGTCTTGACCAGTGTCGGTGGATCAAAGTTGAAGTGGTGGTTGGACCCCATGGGCGCGATGATACTTTCTGTTCTCATCATCTTCCTTTGGTCGAGGACGGCGTACTCGGAGTTCCAGCTCCTCATTGGTGTGACGGCTGATACTGCGATGCTGCAGCATATTACTTATATCTGTAAGACATCCTCCCACTCCGACTATTTCCTTCAATCTACTAAATGTGCTCGCAGCGATGACACACTCCCCCACCATCCTCCAAATCGACACCGTACGCGCCTACCACAGTGGTCCACGTCTCATCGTCGAAGTCGACATCGTCATGGACCCTGAAGCCACTCTACGTGCTACACATGATGTAGCCGAGGAACTTCAGATCAAGCTGGAGAGTCTGCCTGATGTAGAGAGGGCATATGTGCATGTCGATTACGAGACAGATCACAGGCCTGAGCACTTCTTAAAGAAGGAGTTGTAAGTGGCGATAGATAACGCATGGAGATAAGGAGAGTAGTGCCGGAGAAATGGGCACGGAAGATGTCAAGTATCGCGCTTTGAATGTTGTATATCTATCTCTCCTCTTATCTTCTTCCCATATCCACTACCATAACTCAATCACCACAAGAACACAATCACTACATCACCACACCCCACCCCCACCAATTTACTTCCCCTTCCTCCGATACGGACTCGCCATCCCCCCACCTACCCTCCCTCCCTGCACATTCCACTCCGCCGCACTCCCCGCTCCAGCCCTATCCTCAGAAAGATCATAGTCGCCAAAGTTTCTTTCTTTGAAATCATTCCAGCGCTCGCGAAGGGTTTTCTTCTTGCGGTCTGCTCGTCGCTGAGCATCTAAATCGGTGTATTCGGAACCGAGGACTGCTGCGATGGTACTTGCTGGTGCGCCGCTGCTGTGTCGTTGATTTGTGGGCGCGGGCCGTGATGTAGAAGAAATGGTCTGGTTGTCAGGGTATTTTGGTGGCTGAGCTGATGGCTCAGCGTCGTAGTAGATTGGTGGTGTCTCGTTGGAATCGCTGTTGTTTCTGTTGACGTTGGCGTTGGATTTGGCATCAGTCGAATCCGACTTTTCGATGCCCTGGGTGTAATCCGATTTCGCGCCCATGTTGTGCCTGGCGAGAGTGTCGCAAGTGGCTGATAAGTTCGCAGCGTTGTGGATATAATGGCAGTAGCTCTGTGCATAACAATGGTCAAACCAGTGGGACCAACATCGCCAATGCTTGGTTGACGTAGGGTGGGGTGACCAATTTGGTACGAGCTCCTCCGTACTTTACGCCCGGGTGGCACAGCATGGTCAAAACTTCCAAAATAAAAGACATAATGTGCCGTAACTCCGACGTGGCGCTTGGATAATCTAAGCGATTTACTCGACTTATCGGTTTAGTAGCAATACTACTATCTTGTTTCTACAAATGCTACTGGCTACAGCGTCGCTTCTACAACCAGTCGTTATAGTAGGATTCCTATAACCAAGGTAGCCGTCAGCACTACATACAAGGCCTCCAAATGATCCTTCATAAACAGATTGATCCCACCAATCATCGGGATAGAGCACTTCACCAGACCCACCACTTCCTCGCGATGAACCCATTCGCGCCCATCGGGATACATGCCAACGTCGTCAACGGCATTGTTGTCACCTTTCGTCAGCACGAGTTGCCTACGCACTTTTACGTCAGCCTTTTCTAGATGAAAGAGACTTATTCAACTTTGATTCGCAAACGTGCCTTGTTTGTATGGTCATTTCATTGCTACTCTCATCAAAATGAACGCTCTGATGGTGCTCGATCTTAATTGCACGATGCACCATCGGCTCTTTTTTCCCGCTGAACCACACCACAGGTATATCGCCAACTCGGATCGTCTCCTGTCTATTCCATAGGAAGATGATATCGCCTCGATAGAAAGTCGGCTCCATGGATTGTGAGGATACCACGAGGATTGGATGCGTGGAGTTTGTGACGATGCAGAGACTGAGATATGATGTGATGAGTGTTCCCACCATCCAAACGATGGGAGCAATACTGGTGATTCGAGAGATCGAAGGCCATGGTGAATGCATATTGAAGTGATCGAGTTAGAGTGCGGCAGCAGCTGTGAGAGCAGATGAAAGAGCGATTGTATTCAAGAAGGGTACAATAGTACTGGTGCGATTTGAACAAAAGTATCTAGGTATAATCGTCAGCGAAGGACACCGTCATCCCCTTGTTAGCGATTTGACGTATCTTGGCAAACCGGGAAAGCTTTCAGTCGTTACCGATACAATGACGAGGAAGGCGAAAGCATGGTGAGAAAGGATTCCTCGGCCACCTCATAGACTTGGAAGGTTGCCTTGAGCTACTCACACGAAACAGGCAGGTCGTATCTTGGCCGTAGAATTGTTGAGGCCGTGTTTCCGTGAGAAGAGTGGATAGAATAGGAAGGACGAGAAGGATAAGAAGCTTGAGGTGTGTGAGAAGAATTGGAAGGATGAGAAGGATGTTGGGATCGGACCGTAGCGACCACCTTCTTGAGACGGGGCGTATGTCAGAAGGATCGTTGCCCTGTATATATCGAGTTGTTGTTGCATGCAACATTACGTATGGATAAGATGTATAGGTGCAGGGCCCGTGTATCCTGCTTGTGATTAGATGGGTTAAATTCGTGTACGGCTTGGAGTCGAAACGCCTTGCCGAGCCTATGTTCAGGCAAAATTAAAGATGCCGGATAGGAAGGATCATGTTGGTGTGAAGTTACGAGAGACATTGAAAACAATCCATCTTGGCTTACTTGGGATCGAAAGAAAGGCCCCCCATTTCTTGCTATAAGAATGATCATCGGTATCATACTGTTGCTCTACATCCCCACTCCCACTCTTTCAACCAAACAATTCAATCCCTCCAGCATAATGCATACCAAACTACTTCTCACGGGCACCGCTCTAGCAGCGCTGTCCACGATCCCTTCTTGCCCAGCACCAATGGCCGGTGCAATCGTATCCGGAGTTATTGGTGCCGTCGCTGCTCCACTTGCTGGCGGTATCGTTGCAGTGGGTCTCGGTGCCGGGGGCGTTTTCGATGTGCCTCAGTGCTGCGCCCGCAAGTTCACACGATCTAGCAAACGGACCGAGCCTATCGAGATAGCTACTCGTCAGTCTGAAGACTGGCCTCCAGGTGTCTCTGAAGAATCTATCGAGCAGTGCAGGGTCACTAATGAGGGCCGACAAGTCACGCTCACAAGGACGGGCGAGTACTGTATGTTGCTCTCAAATTAACTCAGAATGTTGGGTGCTAACAATCGTGACTTGTAGCTATGCGCATTGAAGGGCTAGCGCCAGAGTGCATGAACTTTGCGGCATTGTTCACTGATGAAGGAAGCCCTATCCCTTGCGGAACGTCTTGCCTGGACTACGTGGACTTGCCTCAGGATCAAATGGTCAACTTGGTCAATCTTGCAAATGGTCTTCTCTGAAGATATGTCATTGGAAGGCTCCCCGCTCTTGGTGTCCGAGTTGCAAACTACCGTCACGGAAGATTGTCAGAGTACTGGAGATGTACTTTAATGGGTTTATTCAAAAGCACGAGAATGTCACGTTCGCTAGCATTTCGCGTCAACAGTCACTCTTTCATATATTTTCGATTGAAGTGTGATAGCACAGCATGGTGCCCAGCTGGTCGATGTTTGTATGCACATTCGTCTGGGATAGTACATATCTCTTTATAAGCAAATAGAAACATGCGTTCTGAATTATCCCGGAAGTTCCGGATTAAAGTGATCATGAGAGCCACAGGCTTCGGGGCGACCAAGCATACAAGGCTTACATATGTATTGGAGCGGATATATAGAACAAAAGGACGCGTGCGCAAAGACGCGCTAATCTCAACGGAAGACTTGGTAGCCGAACTTCCTTAATTGGCTTTGAATGCCATGCACGCTGGAGGCCGTGCTCGGCGTAGGATATATAAATGGCGTAGCCTTCCCAGCATATCTTGATTCCCCTCTGTGCATCGACCGTTCACTCTCAAACTCTTCTCATCCTGAAAATGTCACCACTGGCGGCCTTTACCCCGATCTTGGCTTTCTGTCTCTCAACAGCAACATTCCTCTTCGCTATCCAATCACCCAGGAAGATGCGCATCTACCTATCGCCTTTCTTAATGGGTAGCGCAATCGTCTCTCTTTGCACATGCTCTTACCTACCAGAGTTCCAAGGAATTCCAGCACTATGGGGCCTGTTCCAATGCATCTGGATGCACGATGCTATGTCGCTGTTATTCTTCGAGAGTTTTGAGCTGCCTTTAGGCATAACGAAAGAGCGCTGGATCTACGCTTATAAGAGCTGGTGCGATCCTCAGCGGCGTGTAGACTGGGTCACACTGCCGCAAAGAATGAAAGATGAAAACGTACTACCTTCACAGCGAGTAGGGTTCGCGTGTAATCGGCTGGCCAAGTCGATGTTCTGCTGGATCTTACATTGGTATGCCGTAGCAGCGATACCGGGCCATTTCCGATTGATCTCTAAAGACTTTGCGCCTGAGCGAGAAGGCTACATCAAACGACTCTTGTTTCAACATCCAGGGCCGCCGATCACGGCCAGAGAGACCGAGATTCGTATCTTCGTGTCGTACTACTGGATCTGGATATCGTATCTCATGCTAGATACGTGCCATGTCATCCTTTCCATCTTCTTTGTTGCAGTCCTGCGCATCGATGGGCCACAAGAGTGGCGACCGCTGTTTGGCTCTCCGTTGGAAGCCTACAGTATTGGGCGGTTTTGGTCACGGTTCTGGCACAGACTCACCACGCCCGCGTGCATCGCCTCTGGACATCGGATCACTAGAAATTTGTTAGGCATGAGAGCCGGCTCGCGGAGTGAAAAAGTTCTAGTCGCTTTCTGGACCTTTCTAGTCTCCGGACTGTTCCACGCGATTTCAGACTGGCAAGCCGGAGATACTGTTGATCCTTTGAGGGACATCAAGTTCTTTCTGACAAGCTTCTTCTTTGTCATGGTGGAGTTACAAGTTGCGAAGCTATCTAAAGGGCTGTTGTCGATCCATGGTAGCTATGGCCGCATGTTCCGCTCTGCCGTTGTGGCGAGACTGGCAGGATACGCATGGGTACTGTGCTTTTTCTTTTGGATTTCGCCCAAATGGCAGTATGCTAAGCTTTACCGAGCCGTGAAGGATGCAGAGTACCTTGCTTTGTTGAAGGCGTTAGGATTGTAGTAGCGTGTGCACCAACCTTCACGTACTATATGTATAATCTGTATACGGTTCTTATAAACGAGGTGCTATCTTGGTAGCTTGTACCAACTCCAGCTCGGATTACAGATATCTCCATCTTGTTTTGACCCGAGCATGTTGACTACCTAAACTAACCGGTCACAGAGGAAGCGGGCGTACCCTTACCAGCCAACCTCTTACTCCTCCTCATTCCTCCCACTGACCCATCCTCTACCTCCTCCACAATTCCCCTCTCCGCAACACAACTCGGCGGATCCTCCCTCCTAAACTCCCTACTCCCAGACACGGGCTGTGCATTAAAACTCGCAGTCCTCCCAGCCGCCCATGGCCCATTCTCAAACGTCGAACTCTGTCTCCGATACTTCGCATTATTACCAATAAGCGCATCAACAGCCTCCTCATCCATACACACATCATCCATGCCCTCAATGGAAAACTCATCGAGGTCTAAATTAGACCAAGACGGATCGTTGTTAGCGGGGAAGAAGGCGCTGAGACTTTGTTTACGGTCGTCGAAGGGAATGGCGGGCGCGTAGTTGGACATGAAATCGCTAGACGGAGGAGGCGCGGCAGATTGCACAGGGAGTTCGGCGGGCTCGGAGTGGTTGATGCGCTGATTCTTGCGGAGGCCTGCGCGGGAACCTTGACGGGGTTTGGGGCCGTTGATGAGTTTCTCGAAGGAGTCTGAGTCTTCGGAGTCGGAGAGAGCGGTTATACGTCCCGTAGATCGTGCCGTAGACGTGCGTTTAAGTGCCGGACGCTCGTCATCAGATGAATCGCTATCAGTAGCCTGACGTTTCTTAGACCGCGAACGCTTCCGCGAAGGAGCCTGTTGTTCATCATCCGAGTCCGCAAAAGTAATAGTCCGACGCGGTGTTTTGCG